TGTTGGCGTCTCTTCAGTCCCTTGGAGAAAACCAGGACTACACTCTGCTGCCACAGTCCCTGCACCAGGTCTGTGCACTGTGTGTGAATATTGTATCTATTAACTCATTTTTTGCGGATTTTTTCCCACAAAAATGCTATGCTATTTTGTTTATCTTTAAGTACCAATTAAAATCACAGACTGTATAAAGGAGTGGACTAAATGAGTGTGACGTCACCGATGGCGTTCAGCTCCAGTCAAATGAAGCTCACGATGCTTGCAGTTATAGAAGTGAATTTGAAGCCAGGTCCATCTCAGTATTATTTCAGGAATTTATTTATTTTATTTACAAACAAAAAAAAAAAAAAAAAAAAACAGGATCATGCAGAGCAGCATTTTAAAAGCAAAATGACAAGATGACAGCAGCAGTTACAGAAAGAGGGGTGACGATTTTACAATGTAAAGTCAATTGGAAACAAAGTCGATGGAGCTGGAAGCGCCCCCATGAACACTTCCTATTTGGAAGTTTGGGTCTAGTGGGTTAGCTATATACCCATTTATATATACAGTCTATGATTAAAACGATACAATATTAACTAGCATGCAATAAGCATATTCTTAGCTGTTAGTCCTCTGTTTCCCTGAGGGCCACATGAAGCAAGCTCTACTACAACTGAGCTATAAATAGATCATTTCTGTCTCGTGCTGCACAAAACCACAGTAACATCCATATAACAGCACTGTGCATCAGCTGTTTATAGCATACACTGCAAAAATCATTCATTTTAGAGTCCAAAAGAGAATCAAATCGTCCATTATCTTTGATAATGTTGTATAGACCTGTCACGATAATTACTATATCGACTTATTGGTCGATATTATGGTATATAATTATGGTATATAATTATAATAATACATTTTATTTATATAGTGCTTTTCTAAACACTTAAAGATGCTATACAAAGACTGATTATAAAAGCAGACATTAAAAGACATATATCAAATCTGGAACAATATATTTTTGAGCTCAATATTTATCGTTTACATTTTCTTTGCAATAATGGGAAGATTTTTCTTATTTTAGTCAATAATGCATTAAGATTTGAGCTGTAGACGGTAGAATAAATAATCTATGGCTAATTATTGTGTCATCCTGCTATTTATTTTTTGCAGCCCATGCCTTTTAATGATACTGAATATTTTTTAATAGTTTACTGGGATTGTCCTGCTTTGTGTCACTGGCATGAGGTATTTTCAGTATTATCGTTTATTGTTATATTTGTCTGTAGCAATAGATTGTGCTTCAAATTGTGTTATCATGACAGGCCTACTGATGTTAGTTTGCTGCTCGAATCTTCAGTATCTTTGCACCATCTTGTATCTTTTCATCTCATTGCACTAAATGTTACACTATTTTCCCCCTCAAAAAGCCAGATTAATTATTGTTTAAACTCTGTTAGAAACAGGATGTACAGTAGTATAGCAGAGGAAAGACTATTGTTGATAGTGCTGATAGTAATAGTTAAAGGTCCAGAGTAAACATAACAGACTCTTTAAGCCTTGTTAGAATGTTGTTACCTCTTCCTCCTAAAAACATACATGGAGTTGTGTTTTGTTTCATTCAGACATGTTTGAGTAATCCTTTATTCTGTCTGTTTACATCTCCAAAGCTCAAAATGCTCTGTTCCACCTTGTGATGTCATGAAGCAGTAGTTTTCAAGTTAACAGCTACCCTTTTTAATCCAACAAAGACAGTGAATTCCAGGGCTAAAATTCTCCAAATGATTCTAGTGAAAGCGTATGGGGCATTTTATGTCATGTCAAGTGTTACTACTTGACCTCACAAGGTGGAACAGAGTGTTTTCTGTTTGAAAAAAGATATGGTATGTTTTTTGCTGAGACATTATAACATAGATCAAAAAATAGCGTAATATGGACCCTTTAAAGCAGGGATGTGAAACAGACAGTTAATCCGCACATAAGCAGATCCATGTGACTCCACGTCTCACTGTCTCTCTGCCCCCTGGTTAGACTCATGTGATGTGGGCTGGAATCTGATGAATTTAAACAATGATAATATACATTTTGTTGGACAGGTCAAGTAAATTCAACCATTTTAAGTGCAATCAGCTGTAGTTTTCACTTTGCATGTTACTTGCTTTGAGAACTGTTGCAAATTTACAGAACAAATTAACTTGTTTTTGTAAATTGAAGGGATGAAAATAGAGAACAACAATAGATTGCCTATGTTTTGTTATTGCAATATAAGCAGCAGATTCAATATCTTTAAGCAGGAGTATCCAAACTATGGCTCAGGGGCCCAAAATAACAAATAATTTGATGTGATTAAAGCTTAAAATAAAATATACCCAGAGTTGTGTTTTGTTTCATTCACACATGTTTAACACAAAACCCTACATATTTAGGAGCTCTTCCCTCAAACAGAAAACACCCTGTTCCACCTTGTGATGTCATGTGGTAATAAAGTGCTCCACTGTGTTTTCAAACTCCATACACCTTCACTAGAATCATTTGGATTATTTCAGACCTGGTATTGCCAGTCTTTACTGAACTACAAGTAAAATGTAGCTTTTAACTTGAAAACTACCACTACATGATATCACAAGGTGGAACAGAGCATTTTGAGCTTTAGAGATGCGGACATATTACTAATAAAGGGTTACTCAAACATGTGTGAATGAGACAAAACACAACTCCACGTACGTTTTTGATGAGATAAAAACATTAAAACACTGCTTAATGCTCACACGGGTAAATTTCAAGACAAACAAAGAGCTTTCCTGTGCTCTGAAGTCTGTGTAATTGCTTATCTGTTATCTGCTTTCAGATCGCAGAGGCCTACTCTCTCCAGGAAGACTGTATCCTTTCAAATCCACACTAACATGGTCATTTAGTGTCTTCATATATCTTTTTGTGTATTTGACATTAGAGGTTCAAAAATACAATTAAGATAGTAGTGGTTGCAAATTACTTACTGCTGCTACTGAGACATGGGAAGGTAGTTTGTATAAGATCAGATTACAAAGGAAAGATGCAGTTGAATTTCACAACTAAGTCACATTTAAACCACTATCAGCTCTGTCTAAAGGTCAGAAAAAACACATGGAAACCTATGTCACTACTAACTATAGTGTTCTTTTGCCTTACTGTTTACAAGTTTAAATATATCAGAAATGCAGGTTGAGTTTTGCTAAAATTATTACTATACACATGCAGTAATTTTGTTTCTTTTACTATCAAAGTAGGCCCACATTTGGAAGACATTTGGGTATAGTTTTCATTGTCAGATCACTAACAGTCAGTGTCTGCAACAATGTCCATGCTGTAATGTTGTTCGTCTGATTTTATTTTTAGTAGTAACTAGTGTTGTCTGCTTTACATTTGGCTAAAGTACGCCTGCTAACCTGTTAAGTTTCACTGAGTGTTACCAGACAGGCTTCTTTTACTGCCCACTATTCTTCTTCTACAATTTTAGCACATAACTTTGTCCACCTGCAATGTGCAAAATGTAACAACCCAGAAAACAGAACTAAACATTTAAACGAGCAGCCTGTAGTACATATCTGTAGTACATATTCCCCTGTGGCTGGGCGGTGTCTGTTGTTTGTATCAAGCAGTGGGAGTTTCCTCTATTCTGTTTGGGCTGTCTCTATGGCAACGGCTCTGGGCTGGACCTGCTACGAACAGGGAAGTTTGTGTTCATGTTCAAGTCTCTCGGAGGACAATGGATAGTGGTACTTGGACTTCTGCTTGTGAATTTAAGTTATATATGTAGGGTTTTTAACATCTATAGGTTTATCACAAGCTTTACCTATTTATGTGTCCAGATATGAAGTTCACATATATAGAATAGCATGATACAAAACAATGCACTACAGCTTCACAAACCTGATTCGATGTGCAGTAGGCTCATAAACAAAATGCAAACTGATAATGAGTTCGGGAACAGACAAAAAAGGCAAGTCAGGTTTATTTGTATAGCACAGTTGGTACACAAAGTAATTCAAAGTGCTTTACGGAATAAGAAATACATTAAAATCATAATAAAAACAAATCAAAACATAAATAATCATAAAGATTAAAATTTAAAAAGAGAGACATAAATTAGAGAGAAGAGTGCAGAATGAAAACCTTTCAGTTATATGCACACGAAAAAACGAAAATGAAACTTATTAAATGTATTCATGCAACAAATATTGTATTTTCAAAACAATAAAAGGTAACATAGACATCTAAATAGCAATTAATTCCCACAGAAGTGTAAAATCCCTATTCTCTAAGCTTGCATGTGATCAGATTTGTCCTTAACTCTACTGTGTTCAGACCAGTTGGCCATTCAGTTTCTTGAGCTGGAAAAGCTATACCATGAACGACTCCTGTCCAACCTCACCGCCCTGCAAGAGAACTGGGGTACTGTATCCATATGACTGCTACACATAAAGGGTATTTTCCACACCCCAAATCCATAGCTGCTTGGGAGGAGTTCTTGGGAGGAATTTACTGTATCAGAGCCAAAGGAGGGTCCCAGTCCAGAGCGCCTCCAAAAACATAGGAATGCTTTTGGCTAAAATACAAGAAATAACTAATCTCATACCACCACAAAGTCCCGTTAAAAATGCACTGTGCAACGTTTTGGTTTGGGGTCCATCACTTGCTTGTTTCTATGGCTGTGTCATTGCTCTGCCTGGAATGTTCCACAGTATGACATTAAACAGCTCTTCTTAATTTAATCAGTTACATGTGGCTTTATAGCTCAGAAATATCCAGAAAAACAAGCAGTTTGACTGTTAGTGGGGTTGCCTCTCCACAGACCTGACCTGTACCTTGGTCTGGTTCGGACTCTGTGAAGACAGAAAAATTAAATACCATACTGTGAAACATTTGAAACATTACAAAGCAATAACATCTCCACAGAGAAAAGTATTCAACAAACCCTCCACTAGAAAAAATACACAGTGCACCTTTAAGAGACAAAGTATAGTTTAAACCATACAACATTTTAATGTTGATGCATACATTCACTGAACATAATTTTGAGGAAAACTATACAAAATATCCACAAAATTTTATAATGTTTGTACTAAATAATGTTTGATCATTGTTTTCTAGAGAGTCAACGGAAGGAGAAGAAGGGTGATGAGGGAGCATTGTCTTCAGATGGAGACGCTCACGTGGGCACTCTGAGCCAAATCTGCAGGAATCATCTCAGGTAATTCAATTAAATACAGAAAATACAACTTGTACTGGGAGGCTGTGGACCTATGATGAAAAACAATACAACTTAAAACAACAGGCTTAGTGAAACTAATTATATAAAAACTTAAAGTAACTTTTCTGGTGGAGGGTCCCTTGAATACTTTTCTCCATGGAAATAGTATTGCTTCGTCTTTCTATCTTCATGGATATATCTTCAAACCAGACAGAGTTACAGGTCAGATCTGTGGAGAGGCAACCCTACTCACAGTCACAATGTCTGTTTTTCTATGTATTTTTGAGCAGTAAAACCACCTGTAATTGAATAAATGTAAGGCAGATCTGTTTAATGTCATACTGTGGAACATTTCAGCAGTGACATCTCCATAGAAAAAAGCAGGTGACGGACCCCCAACCAAAAAGTTACATAGTGTACCTTTAAATACACTTAGTTACTTTATTTGTTTATTTGCTTTTTACAACAGTTATTTTAAATTTAAAATGTCTTCTCTCTTTGTGTTATGTACATTGATACTTTGCAGCTGATATCATCAACATTCCCTGGGGGTGTAAAGCTAACTGTAGGCACTGCTCTGTCTGAAGACTTAAATCTGAGCTTTATTTGAACATAATCTGACCATATAGAATGGACTTTGTTAGAACTACAGTAAGATGATTTATGCTGTTAAACAAGTCTCAAGTCAGTCCTCACATAAAATTACAGTCATAATCTAACTATGACTGATGTTTTTTAGTTAGTTTGCTTTTTTGTTGAAAATTAAATACTTAAACAGAGCCATGAACAACACGTATTGATTGCAGATTCCTTATTTATTTATTTTTTATCCATTTAGTATTTTTTCTTCAGCTTTTACTCACATTTGGCAGTGTTTGCGTTGTGTCACCATGAATATTCCACATATGCATGTAGAACCCAACCTTCCCCGACAGCATTATGTCACTGCAAAGTATCAATACACTCAATCATGGTTTTTTTTAAATTAGCGATTCAGGAAAGACAACTGGCCATTGACTATATATAAGGCAACTAACTATCTAACTATGTAACTAAAAGAAGCTCACCCCTGGCTACATACCTGATCCCTGTGTAGGCTATTGGTATGCTATTGTAGCATGCAGACAAGCATTAAAGCTACCATCTGTAATTAGATTGCCCAACCCATCTCTGTTGTATTCTTACTTATCACCACTAGATGGTATATACGTTACTTCTGTCTGATAGTGTGCTAGCTTTGGCCTAAATAAACTTGCAGATGGTAGCTTTAAAACTGTTAATATTTTAATATGTTGGCCCTACATGAACTCTTGTTTGTATTTTCTCTCTAACTTACCTTTTTTATTTCAATTTTGCACAGTCCATCATCATTATCCAGCGGTAACACTGAGCAGGTAAAAAGTTAAAACAGTACATAGATTTTAAGTTTTATAAAATGTTATATCAAAGTTTTTATTTGTGCAGAAGACACTGGCTTCAGTATTTAAAGACATCCAGAACAAGAATGATGTGCTGAAAACCTGCCAGGATGAAGGTAAAATCTCTTTTTTCAAGTTTACAGTTTAATTTCTTTATTACACAATTAAAGGTATTATTTCTTAGGTTTGATGTTTGAGTGAATTGTTATGATTTTTTGGTCCTTAGAAAACCAAAGTCTCATTCTTTTTCCTGCAAAATAACAGTATTGTTTATCTTTAATAGTTTTCTACCTGCCTCTGGGCCACATGCATCTACATTTCATTTCCTGGTTTCTTCCTGAAATATAAATGAAAGGTTTTCAGATTGGGCAAAGACTTGAAAATACTTCTGCAGGCATAGTTGGAGTTAATTTTAAAACATAAGATTCCAATGAATTGTGCAATGACATGACGCTGTGGAGTGGGTGTCCACATGTATATCTATGACAGAATTCAACCGTTACCTTAGTGATATATTTCGATTTAAACAGCAACATTTCAGGAGCCTTTGATCAACACAAGTGTTCATGGTCCCGTTTAGGTCCTTTATTTTCAGTAAAAAATGTGAGCGAGATTAGTGGCACAAATCAGTTCACCTTTTGTATTCTTATAAAAGTCAGTTCTTTATCGTCAGACTTTGTTCAAACAAAGCTCAGATTAAATTCTAATTTTAGTAATAGACCTTCAGAAAGAGAAGTACCATCTTCATATTTTAGAATCTGTAAAAACAAAAAAAACAAAAAAAAACATTTTTAGGACTCAACATGGCAACAATGCATTCATAGTTTCATGGTTTGTTCCTATAACATGAACTTCTTCCAGTGGACAGGCTGAAGTCCCAGCTGATGGAGGCCAAGGGCAGGGCTAAGTTCCCACGCTCGGACCCTGTAGATGGCGCTGTAGAGGAGGCGTTTGAGGAGGGGCAGGAGGTGGAGGAGGAGACCACCCCAGAGGAGGAGGATCTCAGGGTAGAGTGGCCCACGGGAGTACCCCAGGCCTCCGAGAAGGACCTCGCTAAGCTCTCCACCAAAGAAGGGGTATGCATGTCTATGAAGTGTCTATCTATCTACATTTTGTCCAGAGAAGTGCCAGAGTGCCAGTGTTTCCTTTGTCTTGGTCCTGGTTATTGTCTGGTTTAAGGTCTGGCCTTGGCTATTTTAAGTATAGTATGGCCTACAACAGTTAATCCTCAGTGGTATCTATGGGTTTCAGAAGGGTAGTGCTAGATAGTTGGTCAGGAGAGATGAAAGTTGTCATGTAGCCCCGGTAACATGTCAGCTTCTGTTGCTATGAACAAGCCTAAAATTATATATTATATACTATACACTTTATATTTAACTGTTTTATGTTTTATTTGATGGTGTAAGTTGAGATAAGACTAGTAGATGGCAAATACGTTTTTTATGTTACTCCTGCCCACAAAACATTTTCCTGACTCTAACCTTAACCATTTTCTTAACTCTAATCATAACCATAACTTGTTCCCTAACTTAAAAAAAATTGTTCCTAAACTTAATCACTTTAAATAACCAATCACAGCAAACATATTCCGCATCTTCTAGCATTAACCGTTTCAGAATGATTAATTTGTTGGACCGTTGCCATAACAATTAACTATTAAAAAACAAATATATAACTTTTTTTTACACATTACATATTTTAAATGGGAAAATGTTGTATTTAACAGAAAGCTGAAACTCGATGTGGACTTGGTTTGGCAATCATGACAATATCCATGGGTTTCTGAGTGATGAAAAAATAGTGCCATTGCCATAACAACTGGGACTAAACCTGGACTGTAACAGAACCAAATCAAGTCTGTATCAGGACTTAAAAAGCAGGATGCACCGTTAAGGCTCCTTTATGCTCCACTTCATGCTCTACATAAACAGATCTGTGCGTCCCAAGCGTAACTAGAAAAGCGCTCAGAGAGCGCAGACCTCCGCCAAGGACTACAGTCCCCCTCATATTAATTGTGTTTTCCATAAATATTTGTCTCGTATCTTTCAATTTGGAATATGAAAGAGGATCCAATTGTCCATCCCTGGGTCAAATTTCATGGGGTTTGGTCAATAATTAACCGAGATATTGAGAAACAACATTTTTGGCCCCATTTACCACAGTGTTAACTAAAATTTCAAAGTGATCCAGAATCCAGGATTTCTTCCGGATCACCCCCAAAATGAAATCAGTTCTTCCTTTTCACATTTCCAACAAATCCTGAAAATTTCATGAAAATCGGTCCATAACTTTTTGAGTTATGTTGCTAACAGACAAACAAACAAACAAATAAACAGACAAACGCCGGCAAAAACATAACCTCCTTGGCGGAGGTAATAACGTCACTGCATTTATACTTCCAAATGTTTCTAATGCAAAGGCTGTATTCTGTTGAATAACCACCAGAGGATGCTAAAAGTCAGTTAAAGAATTGACCAAAATGGATGAAACAGAGCAATGAATAAACAAAATCGGCAAACTCACGGCAGTTGTTAGATCATATTTGTTAGAAAAGAGTGAAGAAACATGAGGTGAGAGAAGCATTTATTTGTTTTGCAGCTGGTTTATATTCACATTTTTAAAAGCCTCCACTCCACACTGTTTAAGCTATCCATGTGCGTCTAGAAGGTAAAGCAAAAATGAGCCTCAACTTGACAACGTTGAGTCCAATGTGTAACTTTTATGGGAGATGGTCCGTCAAACGTTCTTTTCCATGGAGATGTGATTGTTTTGTCTAAAATGTTTCACAGTATGGTATTAAACCTTTCTATCTTCATGGAAACCAAACCAGACCAGGAAGCTCTGCTCACAGTCAGAATGCCTGTTTTTCTCTTTTATTTTTGAGCTATAAAACCACCTGAAATTTAATAAATGTAAGGTAGAGCTATTTTATGTCATACTGTGGAACATTCCTGGCAAAGCAATTCCATATCCATAGAACCAAGCAGGTGACAAAGCCCACACCAGAAAACTTACACAATGCACCTTTAAGTAGTGAATTTGCTGCGTGTTGGCTAGGGTCCCCTCACATCCTGGTATACCTCATCTTTCCTTCCTGTTCCATCTCCATTGTGTTTTGTTTCAATATGTCATCACCTTCACGCAGTCAAACTACTAACTTTTCCTACTTCTTTTAATCCTTTCTTGCTAAACCTTACAGGTGCATAACTTTTCTGGTCTGTCACTTGCTTGTCTCCATGGAGATGTTATTGCTTTGCCTGGAATGTTACACAGTATGGTCTTAAAGATCTGTTAAGTGTTTATTTCGTTACATTCGTTTTAATTGAAAACAATACCATAGAAACATGCATTTCTATTGTTACTGGGGTCACCTCTTCACAGATCTGACGTGTAACTTGGCCTGGTGATGTCTCCATGGAGATAAATAAGTTTAATGCCATACTGTTTGCACATTCCAGCTCAAAGCAATAACATCTAAAGCAGGTGGTGGACCCTTTATCAGTAAAGTTACGCAATGCACCTTTAAGAATCTGCAGAATGTTTAATCTGCAGTAAAGAAATCACATTATATTGATTTTGGTCCTCTGCATTAAAGTCCCAACAGACCTCTTTAACTCAAATCAAATAGTTATATGTGGAGATATTCGGTTACAAGGGCAGTTACAAGTTATACACTGTGGAGTGGATCAGTGAGGTTCTGTCAGCTTTGAAATTTGACATTTATTCATACAGATATGTTTTGTTTGTTTAAACACCAAAAAGTCAAGTATACATTTCACAAATCACTAGGCACGGTGTTTTTTTTGGCAAGGTATAGAACTCATGCACACTAGAGCTTCTGTGCAGTTAACAGAAAGAGTATAAAGTGTGAAAATGAAAAGCTCTGACCTGATTAAAATAAATGAACACAGCAGTGAATTTGTGTCATTTCTGCAGCTGTTAGTCTTATCTATGGACATTATGTATGGTCTGTAAAACTAAGAGAGGTCACTGGGCCAACTGCATGCTGATGTTACATTGTGCTTACTCTAATTAGATCTAGCTATTGATGTATATGATGTAGCAACCATTAGGGACGGGACAAGATCTTGTGCCACAAAATTACAAAAATGCCACAAAACTGTGTGCACATGAGATTTACATGGCCACCCTATCTAAATATTTCATAAACACAATTTTTCTGTTTTTGTGTACAGTTTGTCTGTTTGTTCTGTGAATAATGCGACCAAAATGTAAAAATGCAGGGCAAGCTCCTCACTTGGGGTTGCCAGATTCCAGTAACTGAAAAGCGGTTTGCAATAAACCCAAATGGCCTTTCTATGATAAGATGTGTCCTCATTATATTGGTCTTATAAAATAATAAACTAGAAAAGCACTCAGAGAGCGCAGACCTCCGCCAAGGACTACCCCCATTTTTTATATAAATTGCGATAAAATCAGTCTTCTGGATCAGATTCAGATCAGCCTTTGGAATATGAAAGAGGATCCCATTGTCCATCCCTGAGTCAAATTTCATGGGGTTTGATCAATAATAAACCACAATGTTAACTAAAATTTCAAAGTGATCCAGAATCCAGGATTTCTTCCGGATCACCCCCAAAATGAAATCAATCTTCCTTTTCACATTTCCAACAAATCCTGAAAATTTCATCAAAATCGGTCCATAACTTTTTGAGTTATGTTGCTAACAGACAAACAAATAAACAAACAAACAAACAGACAAACACCGGCAAAAACATAACCTCCTTGGCGGAGGCAATAATGGATCAGATTTATATACCGGCAGCACTTTTTGGACACTCACACACACACCGGTTTCATACTAGGCATTGTGGGTGAAGTGCTTTGCCTAAAGAACACAATGACCTGGAATTCCCAGCAGTCTCCCATCCAAGTACTAACTAGGCCTGGCCCTGTTTAGTTTCCGAGCTCTGACAAGATCAGTCTTTGACAAGCTGGTATGGCTTTCATTCATATTTTTTATCCTATAACAGACATATAATCCCATTTTACACCATTTGAAGTAGTCACATTTGTTCTTCCAAAGTCTGAGGTCTGGACAAAACCTCTTCAGGACTGGCTCACAACCTCAAACTTATTACTGAGTTTTGAAACTATTGCATGTTAATTTAGTTAGAATTTAGATATTACTGAACTTGAATTTGAAAAGATTATGCACTACCATGTTTCTTATATTCTGTTTTTAAATGTCAGAATTCGTCCCCTGATGGGCTGGTGTCCATCCTGAAGAGGAGGAGGGCATCTCTGGATGGGCTGCCTCCTCCCAGCAGCACTGCCACGAAACACAACACAAAACGCAAAGTCCGTTTCAGCGAGCCGGACGATGCCATGGACCACGGTATGAAATACAAACAAATTAAGTACAATGACTACACATTCTTGTTGGAAAACAACAAACACATGTAAAAATATCCAAAAGTCCATTTGACATTTTAGAACAGAGGAGTGGATTGTTTTTTGTTATTTTTTTTACCTTATTGGAAAGTAAGAGGGGACAAAAGGTGCATGTGATGTGCATGTACTTGTGGATAATAATATACACAGTTATTTACAGTGAAAGATTCTGTTGCTGTAATCAAGAAACTGAGTGGGAGTAGGTGTTAATAAGCAAATGCTTCAGCCTACTGTTTGGGGCTATGTATGCCTCTATGTACACCTGTAATGTAAAGTAAATGTAAGAAAAAAGCCCAAATAAACTAAACTAATGTGGTGACTATGGTGTTTTTAAACATGTGGTAATATTCCACTCTTCTAATGTTTCACTCTTTCCAGATGAAGTTGGAGGGGACTCCTGTCTTATTCTACTGTTTCTGTGTCTGGTGACTGTGGTGATCAGCCTGGGAGGAACTGCACTCTACTGCACCCTGGTGGACACATACTCTAACATCTGCATTGACTTCACTCAAAATGCGGACTTCTACTTTTCATATGTGCGGAGGTTTTTCCAAGGGCTTGGACTATTGCTGCCCTTCAGAACTTAACTGCTGATGAAAACTGATAATTTTCATTATTAAACCACTTGTGAAAAATCTGAAACAGTCACAGTAGCCTAATCTCCAGCAAGCCACTCCTGACCAAAGTCCTGGCAGGTTGGCCTTTTTAATTTATTGCAGTGTAAAACAATTTTATTAGTGGTGTGTGTCAAACTTTCTGGAAAAAAATCAAGATGGAAAATGCTTCTCAATTTCAACTGGCATACGTTTACCTACTTTATTATCCTGATTGTAATTTTTACACCGTGGCTTGGATCCTATCCTTTATAATAGAAAGAGACTATTTGATTTGACATTATTGCTGAAAGTTCAAAGTTTGTTTCTGATAAATATTGATCCTCCTCTGTAATGTTTTTTGTGGAAGTGTGTTTATATATCTACTCTCAGCTGCACTGATACACACACTAGTGTTTGCAAACTGGCTTTAGAAATGATTATGGTTAATGGATCAAACCAGTTATTCTATCTGCTTGATCTTAGAAGGAGAGTAACCAAGTAAGTGTACTGATACCTCAAAATACGCAGAGGTAAAATGTATTTGATTATTTTATTCCAGTATGGAGTAACTTAAACTTTGAGCCATGTTAACATGTAATCAAATAAAACAATACTAGAAAGGTTCTACAAATTCAGATAACAAATTTAAGATAACAAAATGTATTACTACATTGTTTTAATGGTTAAGGCAATGCATTGAAATATTCAACAGGGTAGCACAAGATACTATATCACTTAAATAAAAGTAAAATAAAACATGATTTGGTCATACTGAGCATAATTTATTTCAAAATGTAAATGTATGATTTTCTACTACTACTGTGCTCCATATAACACATATATAATTGATTCTACACCCTGCTGGTGATCAAACTTGAATTTTGAGACTTATTATTTTATAGTTTGTTACAGATGAATGAACACCCTTCTACAAGCTTCTATAAGCTACTACTAATAAATAACAATTATTGCTAATAGTTCCCAGGTTAATGGCAGACTGTGGCACTCACCCTGGAATCTACACTTATTCCACATTGTGCCATATGCATCCAGTCTCTGTAAAAATGTAATTGAATCTTAAACTGTGGTACACTGTCCTCTTCTGGTAGATCCCATTGGTAGATTTGAAGTCCACTGTGGTCAAACCATGATGGGAAACCAGAGATCTCAAAGGAGGGCTTTACTTGTTTTATATCTACTTTTACACTATGCTAGACAGTTTAGAGATGTGACAGCAATCAAAAACACAAGAGATTTTAGGTTTAACATTTATTTAAAGTTTCTGTAATTGTTACATGTTGTACTTATAACATGTTTATTGTTAAATGTAGCATGTTGCTGAATCATTAAGATGACATGTATGTTAAAACCACCACCCAGATATCTGATTAGGACTGATTAAACCAAAAGCTTTCTTTAAACTGAGACTTATTGTTGGTTGATAAAACACAGGCAACGCTGATAGCCGTCGTTTCCATCATTGATGTTTGTTTTAATCACATTGATCCCAGCACTCTGAAAACGGTGAATGGCATCATGATTGACAAGAAGCAGCATGCTTTTCACTGGGGGTCTGCCACTTTCTTTCTTGAACCACACGAAGACATTTTTCCCTGCTGAATCCTCGTTCAGGTTCACATCCACACAGGTGTACCCCTGCATCACGAGGTCGCTGCTCTTGTGGGAGATCTTCAGATCAGTGATTGCCTCCTTGGCATCAGTGGTGTGACAATACCACAGGAAGGTAGTGCTTCCCTTTGGCAGTGTATTGGTAGTTTCATCAATGCAGATCCAGCCTTTAAGGTAATGTTGCAAAGCTGGGCCAATGTAGTTGGTGGCAGCGACATCACAAATGTAGGTCGGCATCTCTCTTTCCATCCAGAGGTATCGCCAGCCTTTACAGCCCCGACTCAGATTGTGACCAACTCTCTCCATGCCGAGTTTCATCTTTAGTGCCTCATTATCAGCGTCGGTGGAGACCGAAAGACTGATGATGGGTATGTCATACTTAGTTTTGCCGACGAGGTACCAGAGGAAAACGTTTCCTCCAAGGTTTTTGTCAACCTTGTTGAACCCTGCATTGGTCAGGTTCTGCCGACATCCCATCTGTAAAGCTAACCTGCATCCTGGTGATGCCGGCGACATCAGGCAGCTTTCTGTACCAGATGTATACCTCACGTTGTGGACAACACTCTGAATGCAGATTCACATCAATTTTACTAAAGCCTTGGCTTTGCAGGTCTGCTTCCTCGGCGTCATTAAGAGACACTTGAATGTCGGTGATGTATTTGCCCATGTTTGCACAACTATGAGAAAGAAAATACAAATTAATTACACATTAACACTTAAATAAACAAAAAATAAATCTCTACTCACAAGTTCTGGAAGAACCTCAGGAGTTGGAAGTCAGAGTTGAATTCTGATGTGCCCTTCTTCATGTCTCTAGGGCTTATATAGGCATCAGAGAGGCCTGGCAATGTGCCCTTGGGTGGAACCCTAATAAATTGGGTTTTGTTAATTCACTTTTTGTTTTATGGTGACTCCATTTAATATTATATAACCTCACTCCTAGAGACAGGAGCTACGTTATGTGCAAAGTACTCTATTTTATAGCTTCAGGTTTTATTTAAAAATATACATTTCACACATGACAAATAGATGTATTAAATGTATGTTAACTTTAGTTAATGTAGTGTTTTTTTTTTTTTTTTTTTTTTATACGTCAGCTCTTAATATAACAATAATACAACTCATTCATGTGATATTAGCAACAAAAACATCCTCCCATGATATAAATTGTTGTTGTTGAAATTATTATTATTTGCACCTCCGTGCTTCTGTGTCTCTTCACACTCATCTTCTCCCTTTAAGAGACACATCTTAAACTGACTCCTCATCTGAATATGTTGCATGTGCACTATTTTTGCCTCTGAAAGTACTCAAAACCTTTCTTTAAACTGACCAAGCCTATAACCTTGGTTACACAAGGCTTACTGTATTATTGAAAATTGTTAATTTGCTTTAAAATAATAACAACAACAACAACAATAATAATAATAATAATAATAATAATAATAATACATTTTTATTGACACCCTTGTGCTCCAACATGGTGTTCGTTATGGACAAACTGTGACTAGCACAGAAGTCCAGTAACAGAACATCGCTTGGGTTCAGATCAGGGAGGCCGTTCCTCCTAATCACCCCTCTCCAAGTGTCACTGTCATTGCCCACGTGGGCGTTGAAGTCCCCAAGTAGAACAACGGAGTCCCCGGTCGGTGCACTGTCTAGTATCCCTCCCAGAGACTCCAAGAAGGCCGGGTACTCAGCACTGCTGTTCGGCCCATAGGCCGACACCACAGTGAGAGACCTGTCCCCGACCCGAAGGCGCAGGGACGCGACCCTCTCGTTCACTGGGGTGAACTCCAACACACGACGGCTGAGCTGTGGGGCAATGAGCAGGCCCACACCAGCCCGCCGCCGCTCCCCGCGGCCAACGCCAGAGAAATAGAGAGTCCAGCCCCTCTCAAGGAGTTGGGTTCCAGAGCCCAAACTGTGCATGGAGGTGAGGCCGACTATATCTAGTCGGTAACACTCAACCTCCCGCACAAGCTCAGGCTCCTTCCCCCCCAGCGAGGTGACATTCCATGTCCCCAGAGATAGTCTCCATGTCCGGTCGTCGAGGCCCCCGCCGTCGACTGCTGCCCAGGTCTCTCTGCACTGGCCCCATATGGATCCTCCCACGGGTGGTGGGCCCACGTGAGGACGGCCCCACATTAATCCTTCGGGCTGAGCCCAGCCGGGCCCCGTGGGGGAAGGCCCAGCCACCAGGCGCTCGCTGGTGAGCACCCACCCCAGGCCTGGCTCCAGGGTGGGGCCCCGGTAACGCCGATCCGGTGGACGTCGCTGACCTCTGAATGTGACTTGTCATATGAGGCTTCTGAACCACTCTTCGTCTGACCCGTCCCCCCGGACCCATTTGCCTTGGGTGACCCTACCAGGGGCATGAAGCCCCCGACAACATAGCTCCCGGGATTATTCGGGCACTCAAACCCCTCCACCACGATAAGGTAACGGTTCAGGGAGGAGATATGACATAATAATATAATATTCTCATTAATTATATTATGATATATTTGATTTATGGAATTTCTGCTAAATAAATAACTAAATAAAACATTGGATAAAATCTAAATTTATTGCAAGTGATTTTCTTTTTGTTAAATTTCAAACTGAGTCTAAAATCAAACCAGCTGTAACAGAGTGTGTGATGAGGAACAAGGATATAATTTTAATGAAGGAACAAACCCTACAGAGAAAGACGGATGTGTTTTGTTAAAAAAAATATTGATCAGATTTTTTAGGTGTGGTTGTTTTCAGTTTACCAAATATGTTGGCAGCATCTAAAACCGCTGTCACACCTTGACAATTTAGCCAGCATAAAATATTGATCAGATTTTTTAGGTGTGGTTGTTTTCAGTTTAACAAATATGTTGGCAGCATCTAAAACCGCTGTCACACCTTGACAATTTAGCCAGCATAAAATATTGATCAGATTTTTTAGGTGTGGTTGTTTTCAGTTTAACAAATATGTTGGCAGCATCTAAAACCGCTTTCCCAATCACCCCTCTCCAAGTGTCACTGTCATTTTTTATTTTTTATTTTTTTTGATCATTTGATCGTCTGAAGTGGAGGTACATGTTCAATACATTTAGAAATTTTGGGTTTGGTGAAACATTCCTCAAATGAATAAAACTATTATATTCAGATCCAACAGCTGCAATACAGATTAATGATCTGATGTCAGATTGGACCTTAACCTAGATAAAAAAGACACTAAATTAAAGTGTAATAATAGACTCAGACTTGAACTTTAGCAGCCACATCAAATCAATTGCATCTGCATTCTTTTACCATCTAAAAAATAAAGCACAAATCAAAGGTATACTGTCTAAAGCAGACTTGGAGAGACTTATCCATGTGTTTGTCTCCAGTAGGTTAGACTACTGTAATAGTCTGCTCACTGGCCTCTCCAAACGAGCTGTGATGCATCCAGAATGCTGCAGCTTGAATCCTGACTTGACCTAGGAAGTATGAGCACATAAGTCCTGTGCTCAGGTCTCTGCACTGGCTCCTGTGGCTCAGAGAATAGACTTAAAGCGGCTCTGCTTGTGTACATGTCTCTCCATGGCCGAGCACCAAAGTATATCTGTGATTAATGATTAGTGTTTTGTGAACCATCTTGCACTCTGAGGAGCTCAGGGACCGGCTTCCTGCTGATGCCCAGAGTCAAGACTAAACATGGGGAGACACCGTTTCAGATTCATGCAGCGAAAACCTGGAACTAGTCTTCCTGAAGATGTGAGTCTTTATTTTGATGCTGTTTAAATCCAGCTGCATATGACTGACAGGTTTTCATTTTTCATTCTGCACTCTTCTCTCTAATTTAATGTCTCTCTTTCTTTTTATTTTTATGATGATTATTTGTTTAATTTGTTTATATTGTGATTTTAATGTATTTCTCATTCTATAAAGCACTTTGAATTACTTGGTGTACGAACTGTGCTACATAAATAAACTCGTCTTGCCTTTTCTTATGAAACTATTCTACCTAATTCTAACTAATCATTTCTCAGTCTTAGTCATTTACATATACTTCTCTACTGCGTGTCTTAAGGAAGGCAGCGAAGTCCGCCGGTGAAAGTGAAGCCTCTCCTCCACGCGCCTCTCCCGGCTGCATCCACCCATCCTCTCTCGCCAACTTCTCCAGCCTCTCCCGGTCCTCCATTCTCACCGTAATACCCAACTCCTTTAAGCCAATGATGTTCATTTTGTCTTCTTATATACTTTAACTTCTTAGGTTCTTTTTAAAGACAATGCAGTAAAGTGTATTTACCTTATTGACATGTTTCGGCTGCTAGCTACAAGCCATCTTCAGAACTGTCACCGGTGTTGGTGGTGACGTGTCTTAGCCCAGGTTTGTTTGGTTGGGAGGATTGGTTAGGTAAGTTTGGGGATCCCTGTACTCTTCATCACGTAGATTTTTGTTGTTAGACACACTAGTTATCAGTTGTTGCCACCCTTGTTGTTTTGAGTTTTCCAAATTCTCTTTTTTAGACCAGGTAGGCTAGGCTTTTGATTTCTTTCCTTTTTGTAGCCTAGTTTTCAGTTAGGGCCTGTTTTGTTATACCTTTTTGTTTGTTGATTTGGCACAACTGGCCCACGCCTCCTCCCACCAACCTTTTGTTCATTTTTTGTGCACTTTAATGAATGTTTGGCTGTCAAATAAAAAGTTTGCCAAACTGACTTTGCCTCAAGGGTTGTTTTATACACGTTGTGTCCCTTGTTGGTTATAGGGGATATAACAAAGTGGGGGCTCGTCCGGGATATAACGATCTATAAAACAATCCTTGAGTCACTGTCATTCTGTCTAGAGAGAGAGAGCAGTCATGGGTTTTGTTTTACAAGATTTCATTGATAATCCCAGTCATGAAATAATAACATTTATGTTCAGAGGCAGGATGTTAAAAAAGAGATCAAGCGTAGGGTTATTGAGAAGTTAATTGAACTAAAAGTTCTTGCTCCTGTTTGCCTAGGTGACCCTGTAAACCCACAAAGTGAGCATGCCAGTAATGATACAAGGGAAATGGATGATGAACATGAAAATGTTCCTGAAGCTAAAAGTGAGGAAGTTGCAGAAGCTACTCCAGTGAGGGTGAGGGGGGAAAATCTAAGCCCCCCACCAACTCTTCCTCGTTTTGAGTCTTTCTCTCCAGATGAGGACGAATATGCTGAACCTATGTCTGCTGGAAAAGCACAGGGAACAGCCAGTTCTACTGCAAAGCTGAAGCTTCGCCTGGCTCGTCTTCAACTAGAAGCGGAGAAGGAGAAAATGCGTAAAGCTGAGTATGCGCTCCGACTACAGGTACGCAGACTTGAAATAGAAGCTGAAAAAGAAGTTAAACTAAAGCAGCTTGATTTGGAGGCTATGAGACTGTCTGCTGGGAGTGTGAAAACTGATAAATCTACATTTCCATTACAACATGAAAAGGGGCCTTCCAAACATTCATTTGATGTCACTAAAAACATTGCACTGGTTCCCACATTCAGAGAAACCGAAGTTGATGCATATTTCAGTGCATTTGAGAGAATTGCTACTGCTCTGGAATGGCCTAGAGACATGTGGCCCATACTTCTGCAGTGTAAATTAGTTGGTAAAGCTCAAGAAGTTGTCTCCTCTCTCTCCTTAGAGAGTTTAAACTATGATGTATTAAAGGGGTCCATTTTACGTGCATATGAACTGGTTCCGGAAGCCTACAGGCAGAAATTTAGGAACCACAAGAAGGCCAGTGGTCAAACATTTGTTGAGTTTGCCAGAGAAAAAGGACTGCTATTTGACAAATGGTGTGCAGCTAATGATG